ATTAAATATAAAAATTTGCGCAAACGTCTGCCGAAGGACTACGGACCACGCGTCGTTTTCAAGTATAGTATATTGTGTGTGTGGTACTACAGTGGCGTAGCTTTGGTTGTTGTCAGCTGGGGTGTAACTAACAGAATCAACCCCCTCCCCCCAAATAAATTAAATATAACAATATCTTTTAAATTTTTTGACGGTTTTTATTACTTAATTGAATCTTATATGCATGTCCATTTACTTTTTAAACTTTCAATTTATTCATTATTAAAATCTATTAAAACGTTAAACAATTAAACTAGAATTGAAAAGAATATGACAATCAAATTGATATGTTTAAAAATTTTAAAATGTAATGTGCACATTTAATGTTTTATTAAATTTTAATAATGTGTAAAAATAATTTTTTAAAAGGAAGTGGACATACATATAAGATTCAATACAAATATCTACTACTGAATAGTTTATACATTATTTAACAAAACTAAAAGTATATTTGCACATGACATTTATTTATAATGTATTAAAAAACTGTGTGTAATTCAGAATAATTGAAATATAATTTTAAATAAATAATCACATTATTCCGAATATAAAATTTTCTAATTTGTGTCCAACTCTAAAAAGGTGTCACCCGCGTTGGACCGCGAGTGATGCGCGTTAGATGCAAGTTTTCAAATTTGTTTGAATGCAATTAAGCAACATTATAAAGGAGATGCATACTCTTTTGTGTGTTTATTGTTTATGTGTAAAACGGTATTATAAATTTACAAGATAATCAAAATTAATTTTTGGATCCAACTTTATGGTTTCCAAAATCGTAAAATGCAAAAACAAACTGCATTGAGCGTTACTTGTAAAGAAAACATTTAATACTAATAACATCTTTGCAAACATCCAGGGGTATTTGTCATCAATGTTTGGCTGCTTGGTGTGCCTCACCACGATTCTCTCGCTGCGATTGGCTGTATGTATTATGAAGCAATTCTTCGTGCCATAAATGGCAAATACTTGAACAGAAAGGGTCGTTTATAATGCTGGAATACAAAAAACATGTATACTATCTCGCCTACAACAACACACGTAGTAAAGATAAAGTGTAACGATATAGAGGAAAGTGTCGATTTTCAACAGAAAAACTACCTGGTGCATATCAATGATTTGGGAGCCCTGGTATCGAAAAAGTGGATAAATTTTATAGTAAATGACTTCCCCTAACAACATGTTTAGCCAGAATTTACGTTTTAAGAGATCTTCGAACCAAGAAATGCGTTCGTGGCAAAACGTCTGTCCGTCTGTCCGTTCGTTTAAGTTCGACACTAGTGCTTCGTTCTCATGAATTTCTTCAAAATGATAATTTTTCAACGGATGTGACTGGATTTGAATCAATTCTGCAAATTTGAGTGAGTATTTGGATTTGGGGGATACTTTACACGAAGCGTTACCAATATTTTCAGTTTTCTCAAAAATGGCTCAAAATGTTCGAGCTTTTTACGGATTGAGCAAAGAACGCTTAAGATGGCCATGTTCTCTTTTTCCTCTCCAAATTTTCGAAAACTGCAAAAGTTCCAAATTTTCTCGGGGTCTTCCTAAATCTAGATCATTTGAAATGGAAATATTGTTCTTGATGAAATCTATTCTTCAAATACAGATTTTTAAATAAGGCAATGAATAATTTCCGAAAAATACGAGTCGTTTCCCCATATTTTTGTGTAAAAGATAAGCAGATTTGTGGAGAAATAATTGCTCAAAAACAGCTCCAATTTGTTCTCTTCTTTTTTCAATAAAAGAGAAAAACACGCTTCAGAATCCTTTTTTGATTAACTTTGTGAATTTTCAAAATTCTCCAAAGGTCGTAGGCGTAGGTCTCATTTTCATGGAACACTTTGATCTCTCTTTGGAAAATTTGAAAAGTTACAAATGATGCGATAGAGCAAGTGCTTTAGTATAACCACTGCGTTTATAACATTTATTCAGGCTCTTGTTCCTGGAAAATATTACTGATAAAGAAAATACCATAACTTCAGAGCCGATGCTCGTTATCTGGTCATGGAAGTGATGGGCGTGGAACTCCACAATTCCCCATTTTGCTAAAGATTGCGTTCGTAAAGATACGAGTAACACACTTTGATGATGAAAATATCACAATTATTTCGAAGTGACATTTTAAAATATTTGCTTATGATTTTGTAAAAATGCCAAAGAATTATCGTGCTCCCGAAAAACCGTTGTCGGTAAAACTAGTGCTTCCAACCTAAAAAACTCGTGAATTGCCCTTAATTTATACAAGCTCTATCATGTCACTTCAGTCAATGACGCCTGCTAATGTCCACAAGAAACTGTGTACACAACGACTTCCTGGCCGGAGGACAGTTTACACTTTCGCAATTATCGCGAAATTTACAATCTAGCATTGCGGCCTACCGCACGACAAACCCCGTGGCGTCAGCCCTCACTCATCGTATCACCCCTCGCCACGTTATCTGGCCGGCGAGCACTTAAGTACGAAAATAATTAGCGCAATCTGGGAGCGCACTCTTAATTAAGAAATGCGACGGATAGCGGAATGACTCAGGAGTGACAGTTAGAAACCGTTTATCTCTGGGAATGAGAAACGGGCGATGACTATCGAGTATTATGACACAAGGAAGCAAAAAGCGCGGCCGGGACGCGTAGCTCGGGGAACTCAGCCCCGTTGGGCGCCTCACACTGGGGGCAAGATCTCGAAAAGACGGCCAAAAGTTGAAAGAAAAAAGATGTTGTAGAGAATTTTAAGTATGCATTTGAGTAGACTGTTTTTCAGAGTGTCGAATTTCACGGATAGAAAAGGTCCGAGACGTTGCAGTGACGTTCGGCGTCATTAGAAACGTGCCCGTTTCAGTTTTGAGTAACTTGCATCATTCAAAATGGACGAAAATAGTGATGGTGAGTACATGTATTGCAAGTACTTTAAAAACATGTTAAAATTACTTAATTAATAATCAATTTTTAAACAAAATCACACAATTAATTTGTTGTTTTTTTAGTGGGAAACAGAAGTTCCACAGAGTTCTACAACACAATTTGTGAAAACATAATTCTCTACTCTTTAGCAATTCAAATATCAAAAAAGCTCATATTAGCTGCTGTTCTGCATTTCGTGCAGAAACATATTTAGCCTTTTTTACAATTTTTAATCCTCCATTTTGAATCCGCCAATTTTTGCAATGTTAACATTGGAATCAAAATCAGCAAATCCATAAAACCCATTTACAATTTATTTAAAAAAATGTTAGGCGTTTTAAAAAAATTGTTAATCCGTTATATTGGATCCGCCATTTTTTGACATTAGAATCGTTATCAGCGTGCCCAATAACTATTGTGCCCAACAACCATTTCATTAAATTTGGACAACCTTTTCATATTTTGGCCAGCGTTTTGAGATCTTGCCCCAACGTGCGCCGCCTAATCGGGCGCCGATCGCCGCTGGCCCGCGCTTCGCCCGGTGCGGCGCCTGCCCGCGCGGAGGTCATAATTTTCGGGGCCGCAACCGTCTCGTTTGCAGGGTGCTCCGCTCGTAATTTCATTTGGGACGGCGTGCGAGGGCATGCGGACGCCCCGAAGAGTCTTCCGACAACAAAAGGAAGGAAGAGCTTGTAATGAGTTATGAACAGAGACGGAGGGAGACGAGATAGCGGTGGAAAATTACCCCGTGACAATTTATTTTCATATACACCAAACCCATTCCTAGTTGCTGACGAAAAAGGGAGCGGGAGGAGTCACAATTCTGGAAGCAGTCGAATACAAATCTACGCGTCTTCCGCATGCGGACGCCCCGAAGAGTCTTCAGCCAACAAAAGAAAGGTGGAGGTTGTAATGAGCTATGAACAGAGACGGAGGGAGAGAAGCTAGCGACGGAATATAATGGCAATTTATTTTCATGTACACCAAAATCACCCTCGTTGCTGACGAAACAGGAGTTCTGGAGGCATGAAAAGGAGACTTATCTTGAAATCAAACTGGCAAATTACAAATCTTGGGTGAGTGGCTTTGATTTAGCTCTGAAATCTTGAGTTTTCAATGTTGAGAAAATTATTTCTGGTGAGATTATTAGCTTTTAATAATTCTTAAGTCACATTTTATTGTCAATTATAAAAACGACATATTACTTAAGTTACTCATTCGCTTCCAAATTTGCTTCTAAATCATAAAAAAATACTCTATCTATACTTTTCGCAAGATTGTATTTTTATTTCTACGATATTTATCTTCAAGTAATTTCATACTCGTACTTCTTTCCCTTTGTTCCTTTAGACATTCCCGTGTTTCTTTTGCTTTCTCTCTTTCCTGCATTCTCTCTTTACCACCTAGCGTATTTTCCTTCTTCTCCACGTCTCTTGTTCTTCTCCACGTCTCTTGTTCTTCTCCACGTCTCTTGTTCTTCTCCACGCCTCTTGTTCTTCTCCACGCCTCTTTCGTCTTCTTCTCCACGCTCTTGTTCTTCTCCACGCTCTTGTTCTTCTCCACGCCTCTTGTTCTTCTCACGCCTCTTGTTCTTCTCCACGCCTCTTGTTCTTCTCTCAACGCCTCTTGGTTCTTCTCCCCGTTCTCTGTTCTTCTCCGCGCCTCTTGTTTTTTCTCCGCGCCTCTTGTTCTTCTCCACGTCTCTTGTTCTTCTCCACGTCTCTTGTTTCTTCTCCCGTCTCTTGTTTTCTCCACACTCTTTTCTTCTTCACGACTCCTTCTCCTGCCTCTTCCCCGTCGCCTCCCTTTATTAACCCCGTGGCGGGGAGGGGGGAGAGGGCATCCAGGAAGCATTACGCCACATTAGTCGATGCGCGCGCCGCGGATAGCCCGTGGGGCCCCGCAATAAAGATGGCGCCCGGCGATAGCCCGGCCCGCGCCCCGATGCTATCGCCGCCGCCTCCGCCTCCGCCGCCGCCCGAACTCCGGCTGTAAATATGCGCGCACGCGCCTCCGCCCCCGGCAGCACACTCCAGCCACAGCGGGGGCGGGGTGGGGAAGTTCAACCGGGCAGAGTTTGCGGTGTGTGGGCGCGAACCCTACAACACAGGGCCCCAGTAGCTATTAGTCGGAGGAAGTCGTGGGATTGGGGTTGATACTTTGATGGCACTGTCATAATGGGTCTCAACATCAAGGGTTATAGATGTAAAAAAACTATTCAAACGGGTGAAATTAATTGACAATAATAGTTATTTATTATAATGAAATATTTAAACGTAATTTATGTTTTTATTAACATTATTACAGTTATTTACGATTACGAGTGGTAAATGAAACGTATTTTGTGAATAGTAAAATGCGCAATCCTACGTAAAAAGTAAAATAACTTGCCTCCACGTGTGTCATACAACATATTTTAGACAGCCTTACTGACTTCATATTATTTCAATTCTAATAAACACATAGACAACATTTAGATGAAAAGTATTTTGTTTTGTTTGTTGCATTCACAGATTTACCTCAAGTACTTAGGCATCGTTTCGCTGTCAGTACTAGTACTGAAAATGTACTTTTAAGGCCTAAGTGTGTCCTGAAAGAACCCCTCTTAAAGACCAATGGCTAAAAAATTGATGATTTAAAAGATACCTAATGAATAATTTATTTGTTATAAATACATGACTAAAATTTTACTTCTAAAGAAAGCACACACGAAAGATTTTTATATAAAAGAATTAAAGATTATAATCTTCTAAATCAAACTTGCTAGAATTCCAGTCTCTTGCGTTATTTTTTATCCCCTGACTTTATTTTTTCTCTACATAAAGGCTGGCAGATTAAAAATGTTTTCCTACTTGCAAGAACATTTTTTGTCATACGCACTGTGTGAAAATAGGATACAATCTAAACTTCCTTGTAATCTCCCTTTTATAAAAGCAATGTAGTTCAAAGTGCGAACATTGACATCAATATTAATATTTTAATAATCATAATTATTAACATATTGAACAACATTCATTAATTCATCTTCGGTGAATTAATTACATAACTGTCCTATGGATTATCACTAAATTTCCAATTTTCTATAACATAATTTTGCCATAAAATCCACGCTAATTAATTTTTTAAATCTTATTTCTTTTCTCGAAAATTAAAAATATCCGCATGGGGTTGTTTTGAAACCCGCTTTTTTGTGAGTTCTTGCGCAGAACAAATTCCGTTCCGCACGTGACGCAAGCGCCGGCCGCTCGTGCCCTGAGTTTAGGGCTGGGGCGGTTGGCAACAGCGGAGGCTGCCACGGGCAGATAAGGTGCAGGTATAAAGAACACAAACAAGACGTCTGCCGCCCGCCCTGACGTCGCCCCCGCGCGTTACTGCTACCGCACTCGCCCACGCCACCACCGCCGCTCCCGCCGCGCGCCTCGCCGCCGCCTCGCCGCCGCCTCGCCGCCTTCGCGCCACTTTCGCCCCCGCCCTCGCCGCCACCCTCGTACCCCCCCTCGCCGCCGCCCTCGCCGGTCCCCTCGCCGCGCCCTCGCCGCCGCCCTCGCCGCCGCCTCGCCCCCGCCCTCGCCGCCCCCCCCCGCCCTCGCCGCCCCCTCGCCGCCGCCCTCGTCACCCCCTCGCCGCGCCCTCGCCGCCGCCCTCGACGCCGCCCTCGCCGCCGCCCTCGCCGCCGCCCTCGCCGCCGCCCTCGCCGCGCCCTCGCCGCCGCCCTCGCCTCTGCTCCCTCGCCGTTGCCACCCTCGCCACTGCCTCCGCCGCCGCCCTCGCCACCGCCAAACCTGGGCGGGGCGAGGCGGGGTTGGGGGCGGCGGCGAGGGCGTTGTGGCGCGCGCCCTTTGCAGCCGGTCGTGCTGTCTGAGTCCGCAGGCAGATGTGTCTCCACCAATAGGTCCCTAAAACTACACCGTATGAAACTTACGGACCCGTAAATTTAAGGACCTGCGGCAACTGGACCGTGTACACTCCCAGCAACTGGACGCAAAGGGTGGAGTGAAAATATTTAGAGATTGTTGATGGGTTCAAAATTCGAAGTTTTCTTTACAAATATATCTATTTGTTTCTTAAAATTGTCTACTAATTCCTTAAGGAATATGGTTCTAATAATCTTCATGGCTTGTAGAAAAGTGTTGCTTTAGGATTATAAAAAATTAGTAATAATAAAAATATTTTTAATAAGCAGTTATTTATGATTGGAGTGGTTAAGTGGTAACTACATTTTGCGAGTAGGAAATGTTGCGACATGAGTCCAATGCCGCTCAGAAGTAAAAGAATTGTGATATAAAATTAAGTAAAATTGCTTTGTAAAAGTCTTTTTCACTTTCATATCCAAGTAATTTATTCTAGTATATCAATAAACTCGTAGTACGTGGTATTATCTTTCATCTGAGTAAACTAATAATCTTCATAATCCAATAAATAAAATTTCGTGTATTTGGGCTGCAGATAACTGGACTTTTATTGTTCTGTCAAAAACAACGTTCTTTTGAAATAAAAAAGTTTAAAAGTGGTAGTTTTAGAGAATCTCTGTGAATAGCTTCAAGTACGTAATTTGTTAAAATTTCAGGAGAACTGTAGCATATACAAGACAGTAAAATATCTCTTCCGATTCATAATTACCACGCAATGCATGGAAAAAATAAGCATTTTTGTTCATTTATTGTTGTGAGCAATAGCGTACGGTTGCGAGTAAGCAACAAAAACTTTGTAAGCCTGGAGGCCCTAACTTTGAGTCCTGAATGATGGGAAATGTCGACCACATCTGAGGATTAATGTCAAAACCTGTCTGTGCGGGGAAGAGAAAAAACATCTGGTCGGTCGCTTCGGTGATTATCACCAATTTATTTTAGACGAGGGCAGGCAGTACCTTAATCTGTAGGTCACAGACCGCACGTGATCTCTCATTCGCCAAGCCATTGCACTCCCATTGTTTGAGGCCTGTTCCCATATAGTCCATTCATCGAGAATTAGAAACGTTCGGACTTATTGTAAGCACTGATATAGTCTTTAATCGAACTATTAATACTCACATTTACATTTTATAACGAAGACTAATGATCAGAGAATTTTCTGATGTTGAAAAGCAAATATTTATGATTCGATTTGTAACTTTTTACAGAATTTTATCATACTATACTGCGATTGGTTCATTGACTGATAGATAAACGTTTCAGTGATTCCGGGCGCGTCAACTACTATTCACTTAGTCCCGTAAGTCATTAGTCCCGTAAGTGTAGTGCATTTTGCTCGGGAGGTGGCAATGATCTTTCCCCGCTGGATGGTGAGATCCGGCGCCGACCTAGCTAGCAGAGTTTTCCGCTCAACCAGGTATCTTCCACAAGAGGGTTACCGCCCCCGTTGGGTCAAGCTCTAAGCTCCCGACCGGTCTCTTGGCATGAGCATTAGTGTAGTGCGTGGGGTGAGGATAGGGCAAGGAAGAGGGAGGAAAGATCGCGCGCGGTTCGTGGCCCGTTTGTTTGGGGATTGCTCAGGCTTTCGCCTGGTGTTGATCGGAGAAACCACGGAAAACTACCGATCTGAGCAGCCGGCTGCTATAATTCTCCTCCAGACAGCGACTGAAATATCCTGCGAGAAAGAAGGTTAACTTGATGGTGGTTATAGAACATTAATACAATATATCGAAGGAATTTTAACGGACGAAATATTCAGAACTAGTAGATTATGCCTTACACGCATCAACAAGAGAAGATACGAAGTAAGAAAAATTGTCAATACGCATCATTCGTATCATTGAAGAAACGTGTGTCGTCAAAATTGCTCGCCGTAAGTAGCAAAGACGTCCTGCCCTGCAGTTGACGGCAAATCCGCGCGCCGCGCTTCTAACCGATTTGCCACGATTACTCCACCAAGACGTCGCCGGAGCGGCCCCTCCCGAGGCGCCAAGAGCCTTAGGGCGTAATGCCAGCAGACGCGGGGAAGCGAAAGTCCGGGCGACAGTTTAAAAACTGCCAAGTGTTTGTCGGGTTGAAGCGATTAGCGCGCGCGCCTGAGGCAGCGGGGCGGCAGCAGTTTCTGATCAGAGTGACAGTTAGAAACCGTTTATCTCTGGGGAATGAGAAACGGCGATGACTATCGAGTATTATGACACAAGAGCAAAAAAGCGCGGCCGGACGCGTAGCTCGGGAACTCAGCCCCGTTGCGGCGCCTCACACTGGGGCAAGGTCTCGAAAAGACGGCATAAAGTATAAGGAGAAAAAGATGTTTTAGGCGAATTTTAAGTAAAGGCAGTTGAGTAGTCTGTTTTCCAGAGTGTCGAATTTCACGGAATAGAAAAGGTCCGAGCGTTCGCAGTGGACGTTCGCGTCATTAGAAACGTGCCCGTTTCAGTTTTGAAGTACTTTTCATCATTCAAAATGGACGAAATAGTGATGCGTGGTGTACATGTATTGGAAGTACTTTAAAAACATGTTAAAATTACTTAATTAATATCAATTGTTTAAACATAAATCACACAATTAATTTGTTGTTTTTTTAGTGGGAAACAGAAGTTCCCACAGAGTTTCTAACCAACACAATTTGAAACATTAATTCTCTACTCTTTAGACATTCAAATATCAAAAAAGCTCATATTAGCTGCTGTTTCTGCATTTCGCTGCAGAAACATATTTGGCCTTTTTTTACATTTTTATATGCTCCATTTTGATAGCCAAATTTTTTACAATGTTAACTTGGAATCCAAAATCAGCAAATCCCATAAAACCCATTTACAATTATTTAAAAAAAATGTTAGGCGTTTTTTAAAAATGTTAATTTGTTATATTGGATCCGCCATTTTGACATAAGAATCGTTATCAGCGTGACCCAATAACTATTTGTGCCCAAACAAGCATTCATTAAATTTGTGACAACGTCTTTCATTTTGGCCAGCGTTTTGGGGATGTTGGCCCCAACGTGCGCCGCCTAATCGACGCCGATCGCCGCCGCGCCCGCGCTTCGCCCGGTGCGGCGCCTCCCGCGCGAGGTCATAATTCTCGGGCCGCAACCGTCTTCGTTTGCAGGGTGCTCCGCTCGTAATTTCATTTGCGGCACGCGCATGCGAGGCATGCGGACGCCCGAAGTCTCTTCCGAAAAAAAGGAA